TATTATCAATTAATTATCAATGAAACAATGGATGGAAATTAATCAAAGAGAAAAGCAACCTAGAACTAAGGAGAAATGTCCTAACAGTGAGAACAAGAAACCGGTGAAATGCTTGCTTTCAGAAGTTGTGGGTGCTCTATCACTAGAGGCTTTTAAGAAGAGACTGGACAGCCACTTGTCTGGAATGGTATAGGGTCTCCTGCTTGAGCAGGGGGTTGGACTAGAAGACCCCTGAGGTCCCTTCCAACTTTGTAATTCTGTTATCAGGTGTAAAATAATCAAAATACCAAATTTTGTTCTTTGACATTTTGGGAAACTTTATGAGGTGGCAGCATCTATACATTCTTGCATGAACTTGAAAAACTATGCAAAGTTTAGGCATCAGGAATGCCAAGATGATTTAGGAAAAAGTCCTAGGAGGAGGCAATGCACATCCATTATCTATAGCTGCCAAGAAATACAACATGGATGGTCATGAAGTCACCAGGAAGTAGAGTCAGTTCAAAAGAGCATTGACTTTACTTTAAACTTTGAAAAAGATATGTAGAAAAATCTATTCCATTCATCATGTTTTAAGTATCCCTCTGGTTGTTTCAAGAAATACAGCTAACCATGTTCTACTTAGTGTTTAGATCATTAACTTTTCCCTCAATAATCTGTTCTATAGGATATGGCTGTCTGAGTTCAATATGATGATTAAGGTGATAGATTAGGATGGGAGACATCTACGTTCAAGGCTACCTTCAGCCATGAAACTTATCCAGATGACTTTGGGACAGTCACTATCTCTCAGACCAACCAATCTCCCAGGTTAATTGTAAGTGTGAATGGAAAGCAGGGTGCTCTAGGAACTTGAAAAGGAAAGGTAGACTATGAATCTAATAAGTAACATTTGTATGCAGATTTCAGTCTTGATTTGTTTCATGCTGGACAAATTAAATTCCTAATAAATCAGAATAGGAGATAGTGATTAAAATTCAAATCAACATCACAGTCTGGGATATTGTGCTAGACTATTAAGAATGTTGTATATTCCCCCTATTAAAGGCTGCTACCCTCATTTAGAAACAGCATATGTAGGCATCTGGAAGATAACATTCTGATTATGGCATCAGTTTCCATTAGTCGAGTCATAATGTTAATAAATAAATTATGTACAGAAAGTACTTTGTATAATTTACATGATGACATCATGATGCAGATGAAGTCACCTAGACCAGGGATGTCAAACTGCCGGGCCACGGGCCGGATGCGTCATGCCGAAACCGCGCCCAACCCATTGCTGGCAATGGAAAAAAGTCATGATATATCGTGACACATCACGTGACATTGTGAGTTTGACACCCCTGACCTAGACCCTTTGTCTCCTCTTTGTGGACATTCATGCAAATAGAGATATAGGGTTTATAATATCCAATAGTTGCATTCCTAGTCTCTATTTCAGAAGCACACAGTTTATATTCTTATAGAGATGTTCTTCCTCATGCCTGTACAGACTGTGTTAAAAATGCCACATTATTTCATTCTATATGTGGAATATACAAACCTATGCTATATAAATATATTTAGTAAGTGTATATTGGTCTGTTATCTTTGATGTATAGAGAAGAGAGTCAGGTTAGCACTTTCATTTACAGAGTGGTTCATTTTCAATTTCCCATTAGAATAGTAAGATAAAAGAAGAGAAGAAGCAGACCTACAATTTCCATAGGTCTCTCTGGAACTGAAAACAGCAGCTATGTTTTTTGCCTATTACCTTTAGTCATCTTTGTATCCTGCTAATCAAAGCACCTGAAGGCAGGACAAGATGCAACTGATGGAAACTAATCAAGAAGAGAAGCAACCTAGAACTAAGGAGAAATTTCCTGACAGTTAGAACAATTAATCAGTGGAATGACTTTCCTCCAGAAGTTGTGGGTGCTCCAATACTGGAGGTTTTTAAGAAGAGATCGGACAACCATTTGTCTGAAATGGTATAGGGTTTCCTGCTTGAGCAGGGGGTTGAACTAGAAGACCTCCAAGGTCCCTTCCAACTCTATTTTGTTATTATTATATACAGACACCACTGATCGTTGGAAGCATAGGACTCCAATATAAACTAGGATATCATGAAAATAACAAAATGTTGATAACATGATCCTGAGGCAAACCTGTCCTTCCAAACATGTAAGCCGTGTGCTTTGTGTTTTTGCTTTACAAAAACATATTTTTACACATATTTTTCATTTGTCTCTCTTTCCCCATAGTATAATTATGATACGAGATTAATTTCTCCCCACACATATACCTATGATTCAACATGAAACTAGGGACAATGGAACCACGGATGCTAACATCATCAATGTGATATATAAGGACTGCAAATTATATGCAATCAGGCCATGGTTTTCAAAAGAAAATCTTACTATTGGAATTAGCCTCTTTATCTTAAAGATATAAGTAGTTGTGGCATCTTGTAGAAAATTTGCACCATCACAGCACTGATTACATTAACTTAGATGGTGGAGATGCATAATTAGGTAAACTTAATAGGGCTTTGTGTCTAGCAAAAGCCTTAATTCTTTTTACATTTGCAGGTGGCTAAGTTTAATTATACAGTATGAACACCAGATGGATCTTCAGTTTTTGAGGCCTACATATATCCAGATCAGGCATTGCTCAAAAGCAGGTGGGGATGTTTGTAAATTTATCTCCCCATATGCTCCTGTTCTATGCACAAATATAGATCACAAATTCCTTTGGGCTTAGATTATTCACATCGATGCTCGGTTCTCACCTAAGACAAAATAAACGTTAAATACAAGTAGCAAGAAAGGTTCAGTATGTATAATCATGCAGCAGTTTCAGATGAAAAATTGCTCTGTGAGTTCTACTCTGTACAGTTTGAGAACAAATAATCTCATATAAATAAGGATATTTTAAATGTGGGCTCTATCTAGTCAATACTGATGATGAAACTAGATATATTAATAAAACATTAATAAAGATATGTGGATTTCTTCCTTTTTGTTAAAAAAGTTACTTCATAAATAAATTTACTTCATAAATTACTTCATAAATGAATTGTCTTACAGTTTAAGACTCTGGGAAATGACAATGATAATTGATCTATCCAAGCAATAAAATTAAGTATATAAGATTTTTATGTTTTAATCCTCTCATGTTATATTCAGCCATGTTGGCCTAAGAGGAGTTTTTTTGGGAGGGGGAGGGGGAAATTAGACTGTTTCTAATTAATAACCCCATTAATAGATGTCTCCTTATTAAGAGTGCATTCTGCTCTGTGTCAGGAAAAGCCATGCATTGATTCTGACTGAAACCTAAATGAGATTTTTTTTAAATTCAACGATACATGGATATCTTTTCTTTGATGGACAATTTCCAAATTTAAACAAGCAAAATAGTCATTATTATGTATAACTGATCCATAAACTACAAAGTGGTTGAGAACACTTAAGATGATAAGATAAGATGGCAAGGCAAGGCAAGGCAAGGCAAGGCAAGGCAAGGCAAGGCAAGGCAAGGCAAGGCAAGGCAAGGCAAGGCAGGATAGGATAGGATAGGATAGGATAGGATAGGAAAGGAAAAGAAACTTTATTGTCATTTTTTACTTGGGCGCGCGCGCGCGCGCGCACACACACACACACACACATATATATGTCTTAAGTGTTTTTATGACGCACTTGAATCTCAGAAGGGTGTAGCTGGCTGATAAGAGCAAAGGAGCTTGAAATAGCTATACCAGCTTCCTTTAACTCTTTGTTAGCAATCCAAATTTAACACACACACACACACACACACACACACACACACACACACATATATATATATATATATATATATATATATATATATATGTGTGTGTGTGTGTGTGTGTGTGTCTAAAAAAGAAGACATTGATGTATGTATGTGTATATGTATATGTATATGTATATGTATATGTATATGTATATGTATATAAACACAGAGAGAGAGAGAGAAAAAACTTGAGAGTTCACAGGGATTGATGCTAATTGGAATAAAACTGAATCTAGAAGTTCTGCTTCGGATACCACGAAGCCTCCTCCCAGAAGGTAACAAGGAAAACAGATTGTGGAGAGGATGTGTAGTGTCCCAGACAATCATGCGGACCTTGCTCAAGCATCGCTCATATGCAATGTCCTGGATAGAAGAAGTGAACTATCAATAATCTTTTCTACCATCCTCACCACTCTCTGTACCGCCTTCCTGTCTGAAGCAGCACTTCTTTAGTTAGTCCTGATTGGTGTTCAGGTAGTCCTCATTTAACAAGGGTAATTGGAACAAGTAACTCCATCATTATGTGATGGTGTTGTAAAGCATGATGTCATGTGACCATTTGTGACAGCAGTTGCAGTAGCAACTAGCAGCAATTGGTTTAGTCCATCTGCATCTGAAAGACAAAGGTCACTCTTCTGAAGACAGCAAAGTTCACATTCTCGGACAGAGAGGACCACTGATTTGAGGGGTTAAAAAAAGCCATTTTGTCAAAACTGAACTCAACAGAGAGACAGGGATACAATACTACTTATCTCCTGTTTACAACACAGTCCTTTCAGCAGTTCCAAGAAGGTTCCACACCCATTTGCACTCTGATTCTGAGGATACAGATAATCCCCCCCAAGTGGTCTGAACGACCCTCAGAGAGCTAACTGCAAAGAATATAAATCCTTTCCCACCAGTCAGTTAGAACTGAAAAAGCTTCTTGGATGCGAAGCAAAACATTTTCAAAGAAAAAAAACCCCAAGAAAGTCCAGTTACCTTTGGAAAACCATCTTTGGGACAACCATGACATGGATCATTGAGAATATCCATAGACATGGTCACAGTGTTCCATGATTGCTATTTGTGACCTCCATACGTTATCTTGCCATTGTAATAGAATACAGTATATCATTCAACAGGCTTACATCTTCATGAGTTTTTTCCCCTTTCTGCTTGATTTTTATACCAATATAACACATACAAATGGGTCATATTACCGTGAGAGTTCCTTTGGCAGAGTAAGCAGCATAGGAGTACAGAAGGTCTTGACTGTGGTGAGTTTGGGTCTCTTTGTTACATGGCTGTCCATTAGGATAATAGCATTCCCCAGTGTTATTCAGAGTCACTGTATTTGGAGAAGAGCCTGGCAAGTCAAGCAAGACAGTGTAGTTGATAAGCTGGACATCTTCAAGACCTAAGGATGTCCACTGACCCAGAAGTTTTGTTGCAACATCTCTATCTTCTTTTCCATTCTGCTGTATCAAATCTCTACAAGAAACAATATCAAATACAATTATGTGTACAGATTTGCTTTTCCAATAAAAATTAAACTTTTGATTATGTACATAGGTAACTTGGGATCTATTTTTTTTTATAAAACAAGGAAACAAAGGAAATGTTGCTCTATGAATATCTACTAGATGAGTTTACTTATTGCATTAAGTCATTGTTTACCTAAGCATAATTGGGGAATAAATCACAATTATCTGAGTTTGTACAATAACATGTCAAAGCCATAGTTTAAAAACCACATTAGGTACTTTCAGCCAGCATATTAACCAAGATCTGAGCCAAAAAGTGATGAAACTTTGAGTTGGCTTTTTTTAAAAAAAGTTATCTATATACACACACATACAAAGTAATAAAGGCAGGATAAAAATAGAAAAAAAATAAATAGAATTGAGCACCATAAAACTATTGTGAAGGAAGACATTTGTTCATGGTTTTCCCAAGGATTTTAATTTAGGAACCAGTGGTTTAATTTAGGTGCAGTGGTTAGAATGCAGTATTGCAGGCTAACTCTGTCCACTGCCAGGAGTTCAATCTTGACTGGCTTGAGGTTGACTTAGCCTTCCATCCTTCCGAGATCAATGAAATGAGGATTCAGATTCTTGGGGGGCAATATGCTGACTCTGTAAACCTCTTAGAGAGGGCTGTAAAGCACTGTGAAGTGATATATAAGTCGAGGGCTTTTTTTTCTCATAGAACACCCAGAACGGAGGTCCGGCACCTTTTTTGGATGGAACCTTGTAGGGTAGGCAAGGCAGGTTGTATGACGTGTGTGATACATACGTGTGTGATATTTTTTTTTTAGAAAAAAAGCACTGTATAAGTCTAAGTGCTATTGCTATTTCTATTTGTGTAAATTTACTTAATGGAAAATAACAATTATGTCAAACCATATCATTAATTGCCTAAGCTTGATTTTTCCATCAAAGTTACTATAAAGTTTACTATAAAGTTTATAATCCTTTTTTTATTTTTATATCACATTTACCATGTTGTTAAGAAATATGCAAAGCTATAGTAGAAACTATATCTCACATTGTCACAATCTGAGGAGGATTTGTTTTCCCATATGTCTCTATTGTCAATTGTCATTTATATGTTGATCCAGGAAAGGCATAATAAGCATCTGTTCTCATTGGAGGTCATCTGTCTCCCATTTCAATTCCTACTTTCTCTTTCTTAGAAGGTTACTTTTTCTTTTTTTCTTTTTGTATACAATTAATTAAAAGTTTTAAAAAGAAGATAAAAACTAACAAAAACTAATACAAAGTAAAAAAAGGGAAAGAAGGGAAAAAGAAAAACAAAGATGCAAAAGGAAAAGTTAAAATAGAATTTTCCTTTGCAAGCAAATATAAGTATGATTTCATGGTTATCTTTTACTCTATGCTTACAAAAATACTCTTTTTTTTCAATTATTTAATATTTTTGAATCATCAAAACCAGAAATTAAAAATTTAGTTTTTCTGTTTCGTGCAAAAAGTTTATAAGGGTTTTCCAGTCAGCAGTAAACATAGATGTCTTTTCTGTAAGCAAGGAAGTCAATTTAGCCATCTCTGTAAGTTCCATCATCTTCACCAACCATTCTCCCATTATGGGTAGGGCTGAATCTTTCCACTTTAGAGCAAATAATAATCTTGCTGCAATTATCATACAGTATACAAGAATTCAGTGTTCCGTGGTTTTTTTTTTTCCTAATTGTCTCTCCGTTAGTCCCAAAAGAAAAGTCTCTGTTGGTTACTTTACCAAAGTGCTGTGATCCTTGCAGTGTTTCTCAACCTTGACAATTTTAAGGCATGTGGACTTCAACTCCCAGAATTCCACAGCCAGCATTGCTGGCTGTGGAATTCTGGGAGTTCAAGTCCACATGCCTTAAAATTGTCAAGGTTGAGAAACACTGCTTCAGAGACATAATGTTATTTGGGCAGTACAGAATGATGAAGTAAAGGTTAGATGTCAAACTTAGAGGGGTCACAAATTTGGACTTTGCATCTGTCTTGTGGTGCCCATTTAATTGAAAAAAAAAGGCAAACAGAGATTAATTTTAAACAAATTAGCAAGACATTCATCACCTCTGATCTATTCTAACACCATACAGTTTTCAAGAGTAGTAGGCTTACGCTAAGGGCTTGTGAGCTCTTTTCAAGAGGAATAATAGCCAAAGGTCAGCTCTTTGGACTTAATCTTTTCACTTTATCTCCAATAAGTCTTCAAATAGTCTGCACAAAATAGACAAGTTAATCCAATCACTAGTACATTACAAGCCAGTGATTTCATCGGCTGTGCCCTTTAATGCAATGACATGAACTTGGACAGTCCCAATACGTGCCAAGTCATTTGATTAACACAAAAGCTCCAGGAGTATCCACATAGCCCATCAGTATTGGAAGCATTAATAGATTAAATAATGAAAGAAAAAGCATCCCATTACAAACAAGATCGAGGTACTTCCCCATCATAAGCGCATTCTTCATTGCAGGGGGTAATTTTAAATGAAGATTACAATTACAGAATCGTTCTTTTCATTGCAAAATGAAAGATGCTCTCTTACTCCATAATTAAATGAAAATGGTTTTAAAACTTTAGTGACAATATACTTGATTGAATTTTAAAAAGCATTGCATTCCTTATTTGCTTCATAATTTATTTTCAGAATATTAAAATGCAGGTGCAAATCATGCCTTAAGCTTTATTAAAGCCCATCAGCAGATATGACGTGTTTTTAATTAGTCTTGTGAATAATGCAATCTTCCAAAAAACATGCTAGTAAAATTTCTAGCAAGATTAGGTCAGTGAACTTAAGTTATACTTTATACTTTAGTATGAAATATATTTGATCAGTCTACATGGAGTTACTTCCAAGCAAACATGTTCAGGTTGATACCCTATGACAGTGATGGCAAACCTTTTAGAGACCGAGTGCCCAAACTGCAACCCAAAACCCACTTATGCATCATCAGGTGCCGGGTGGGCGTGGCTATGGTGGTAACAGCAGACTGGGTGGGACTAAAAAGTTCAATCAATCAATTCCAACTTTGCAAGATCTTTTTTTTCCCGTGAGAAGTTGAAATTGACTGATTGATTGAACCTTTTTTTTTTGTACACGGTGGCGGAGGCCTAAAGCAAAAAGGTTTTATAAAACCCAGCTGAAGGCCTAGGACCGGGGCGACGGCGTGCGTGCCCACAGAGAGGGCTCTGAGTGCCGCCTCTGGCACCCGTGCCATAGGTTCGCCACCACTGCCCTATGATTAATAAAATTTCTAAGCAGTTCCCAACCTAGAGCAGAGTTTTCTTGAAAGTTAAAGTCTTTATGTCCTTCAATTCTTAATCCTGCAAAAGTAAGATTTAAGTAGATTCTTTAGAAAGCACCAAAGTCACAATTTGTTTCAATCTTTTAAATGGAAACTGCTGAGTTTCCCAACTGCATACACATATCTCTGCTTTCTCACTACTTACTATTTAGCATTTAATGGATGAATTTAAACATTGCTCGCCCGTGTTTAATTCAACTTTTGTTACAGAGTTTGGACAAATCAACCACTACACAAAGCACAGAAATCTTAATCTAAAGTTAAGAAGACAAACAAAAAAGACAAAAAGACTCTGAAATGGTATAGGGTCTCCTGCTTGATCAGAGGGTTATACTAGAGGACCTCCAAGGTCCCTTCCAATTCTGTTATTCTATCTATCTGACTGTCTTTTAAACTATGGAAGGATGTTAATACTTTTTCATAATGTTTTTAAGTGTGATAAATAGCTATGTAGTGATGATAGATAGGTAAATAGAAAGACAGAAAGATGAATGGAGAGAGAGAGTGAGATGGGTAGTCAAACAGACATCTACCTCTCTCTTTTTTCTTAAAGTAGGGAGAAGTAAAAGCCCTTCTCTAAATGAATAGGTCACATACAAAGTAATAATCCTTTATGTATGTCAGGACATTTTAAGATGGAAAGGTGACATCACCATTTTAAAGGACTATACTGTACATGGAACAAAATGCCTTTGTATGTGTCTGTCTGTCTCTTAACCATATAAGGAAAAACCATATTAAATCAATGTCGAATCCTTTGCTATAAATTGTGCTTGGCATGTTTATAAATAGCATAACCATCCCAATGCGGGTATTTCCTGCTGTGGAAGAGATCCAATTATCACTGTTGAATATTTTTTTTCCTCTTTACCTGTTGGCCTTATTTACTCATTGGCCATGGAATCACATTCTACAAACAAGCATGTATTGAACGATTCTACCCAATCTTCTGCTCCAATGCTTTGGCCTATACATTCACATATAAGATGCTTTTGTAAGATAAGGCAGTTGAAAACACAAGGTATCATTGTTCACAATTTATACTATAAAGCTCAAGCAATCTGACTACAGTTGTGTGAGTCAAAAAAGAAGCTGCAAAGTTCCTGAAGGGGAAATAGCAATGTGTCTATACAGCTCATCAGCTCACAACAATCATAATGCTAGTATTTCTTTTCACCACAGTAGTATTACAGTCCCTAATGGTGGAAGGATACAACTTGTATCTATAGAAAAAATGAACACTCATAGAAACCAGCATTTAAAATAGGCATGAATGGAAAGTATGATATGGATCAATCAGCATGGCTGGTAAAAGCTGATTATTGGCACAGAGGTTGAACAAATTATGTCAATTTCATTTTTGTGGAGCTTCTAAGGATGCATTTTTGCTACCATATACATTCAGTGTCGGTATTCCCCCCCCCCAAAGATGTGGGATAGAAACCTGAATTTTAAATATGCAAAGGATTATCTTGCACTATTATTTCATAAAAGAGTCAAATCACATATGGCAAACAAAGGCAATTCTTGTTGGAAAGGCTTAGCTGTGTTGGAAGAAAAGTCTTCATCGTGGTTCAGTCCAAGCTGGGGATAAACAACATGGTGACTGCTTTAGAAAGAAGGTTGCAGCTTATTGAAGAGGAGAACCAGACAGAAAGTTGGCTCTGGCAG